GGGCGGCACGGGGCGCCGTTTGGCGAGTACGCGGCACGGGGGCCGGGCGGCAGGCAGCGGCGAGCGCGCAAGCCCCCACCCACAGACGACTGGGCCGGCCGTCGCTGGTACTTTGGCCCCTTCGCCGGCGACGAGCACCAGCAGGTACGCCCTCCCCTTGGTCTTCCCTTCCTGCTGTGCGAAACCGTGTGCCCAAGCCCTAACATACTATTCGTATTCGGATCTGAATCTAGTTACAAGTGTATATGCATGTATTATGCCTACTAACTTAGATGGCTTTGTTTTCTTTATTCAATTGGTTGTACATGTGTACACCAATGTCCTTCACTGGATCCGCCACACTAATGGATTTGTTTTCTTTGTTCAATTGGTTCAAGCTGAGTACAGATGTGTGATGGATTCCATAAATCAACATGACCACGTGTGATTTGTGAACTCATATATCCATTAGTTAATGCTTAAAAACATGTGATTTGTACTTGAGTATTGCAGTAGGTGTAGCATGATAATATCTGTGGTTTGTAGTTCAGTGTTGCAGTTGGTGTCACATACTCACATTACTACGTGACATCGATTTGTGATTCACCTTAGCGCATGACTTGGTGGCATTTTTGTTGTCCTTTCACTGTTGTATTGTAGATGGATAATTTGTGTAAGACTCACTGCTAGTAGGAAGCAAAGGAAACTTAATTAGAAAAGGGCAAGACGATTTAGTTGCTAGATTTGTGATGCCAAATATGGGTGTGAAAGGAACTTTAGGTGTGCAGGTATAATGGTATATATATTAACAGGGCACCAATGCAGAGCTTGCACTGGCTTTGCTAGGACCTTTATCCAGCAAAGTCATAGGAGCAAGGAGATATGGCTATAGAAGTGAGGATTGATGGAAGTAGGATAACACTTAGATATTGTATCTGAAAAGGTTAGGGTAATAATCGATAAAAGTTGGAATTGATTCTTCGATTTCATTTTCCTTTAGGGTAGTTTCAATCCTATTGTTTAAGCAGTTACCTTTCATATAATGGTGATTAGTTGCAGGGGTAAAGCTAGGCTTTATATGAAGGATGAAGGTTGTGCACAGTATATGGCAAAAAATAGTCTGTTACTAGCAGAAGGATTTCTACTGCTGTGTATGTGTATGTGCACCACCATATATGATCCTTGTTTCACCCTGATCCTAGTTACCTTTTGTGTATTCCCTGGCACCCTAGACTTTCATAGCACTAGTAACTTCCGTGAATGGCACAACATATGTTCAGTCTATCATCTGCCAGAAAATTCCTGCACCGGACACCAATTGCAAACTCACATATATTTGAGGTGCATTTGTTGGGGGCTGTTAAAGGTTTTATATTCCATTCTTAGCGGTGAGCGCAGATCACTTGATTAGCAGAACTATAAACGAGTTATGAGTGTGCCCCTCTTGGCAAGCATGCCACAGTATCCACCATCTCTGCAAATTGATATCATTCGACTAAACCATTTCTTTTTAACACAAGAAAACCTGACTCTATAGAAGCAAAACATAAGTGTTCCAGAGTTCTTGATATAAAAGTTTCTTGATTAAGAACAGCACAGGGCTCACCCAAACTAAAACTCCCTGACCTCGCAGAACCGAGATAACATAAAGTTGCAGCTAAAGTAAGTCCTTAGCACAAGTTCATCAGGCGTAATAATTCAGTGGCTCTAGGTACATAGTTCCAGATAAGACTACTACTGATGCAGAAATGTAGTTTTATGTGTCTTTGGTCATCTATAATCATTTGTTCATTACATGTTTTAAATGTATAATTCCATCCTTGTGCAACTAGGATATTGGGTGGCGTTAAAATTTTCTGATAACCTGTTTATATGTTGAATGGTATTTCATCCTAACTATCTTTATTGTTCTTTTGTTTGCAACCTCTGAAGTTGTCCGAGGGAAATTTTTCTAGGTGCTGGTTGGAATGGCGAGTACAGCATGCTTTGTGATTGTCAGTAAGAATGACATCCCTATCTACGAGGCAGAAGTTGGATCTGCACCCAAAGTATGTACCTTGAACTTCATGTACTTCCTATATAATAGGTTCAGATTACAATTAGCTATCTGGCATCTCTATCACATTGCATTTTTCTCCAAGATATGCACTATTTCACTCTGTTGATATGATAAAGAAACTCTGATGTGGAAATACTAAATGGTCAATAGATTGACTTAGTCATGTTGGATCAGGCTCTTCTATCGGTCCCTACTCATTAGTTTATGTTGAATCAGGCTCTTCATATCCATTCCTACTCAGCAAAAACTAAGATGTTTAATGGGATGGTTTACTTCCCAAAAGTTTCTTCTGTTGAGATTAAAACTGTGATGTGCCTCACAGTATACAGATATATAAAATTTGTAGTTTTACTTTAGATCCTTCATGGCAGGGATTTTCTTTATTTGTTTTGTTTTTTGAGCAGCATATCCATACTGAATTACTAAGGTCTATGCCTAATCTTGCCATTTACTTTCTGTGGTAGAAAGAAGATTTGTCTTATCACCATCAGTTTATCCTGCATGCTGCATTAGATGTTGTTCAGGACCTAGCATGGACCACAAATGCAATGTGAGTATTTTATTGGTTTTGTATTTTGTTGTCGGCTGTGGGCAAAGAATGACATCACATCCCAAAGTTATTCTTCTAGCATTTTACATACAGTTTACCTCGCCTAGAAACTTTTGATTTTTTACATATTCTTTTTTTCCAGGTTCCTGAAGTCAGTTGATAGATTCAATGACCTTGTGGTGTCTGTTTATGTAACTGCTGGTCATATCCTTTAAAAAGTGCTGATGACAGTTGTTTTGTTGTTTTAAATGACATTTGACTATGTATCATTATGTTCGGTTTACAAAGTTTGATCGTATATAGCAGTATTATATTTTCTTTAACTGCAACTATGACACATACCAGATTCATGTTGCTTCATGACTCACGTAGTGAAGATGGAATAAAAAGCTTTTTTCAAGAGGTCCATGAACTTTACATCAAGGTAAGACAATCACTGCTAATCTACAATCAGGAGACTTCCCCCCACTGTATTCTAGAGTGCTAAGTGCTGGACCCAAGTATGCATTCATAAGTAGATCTTTGGACATGATATTCAATTTTGGTGCCTCTGTTTATTTATCTTGTTCTTTGTGGCACACATCATCTTCGATAGTACTAGGCATCTTTTGCTCTTCTTTTTATCTGAAATTTTCATGAAGATGATGGCGCTAGTTTCGAAAATTGCATGGATTGCTTCTTCTTTTTTTATTCTGTATGTTTTGATGCTGATGTATCATGTATGGTTATGCACGGTTCATCTGAAATATGCATCAACCACATTCTAGATTACAAATTTGCCCTACTCCAACTTACAATTCTCTGTTTGGTTGTATAATATACAGTAAGTTTGTTTGCTGTCATGCAGATATTCCTCAACCCGCTTTACCTGCCCGGCTCTCGCATCACATCCTCTCATTTTGATACCAAGGTCAGGGCCCTCGCAAGGAAGTACCTGTAATACGGGCATGGACGGTTTTGTAAGCTTTGCATCGTAGCGTAAAAAGGCAGGCAGCAGAAGCAGCAATATATATCACGTTAGCGCCATTGTGTCATCATCACTTGATCACGAGCAATGCCAAAATGGGATGTTAATGACTTTACTATTGCACAACACATAGGTCCAAGCTTCCTGTAATTTTTCTTGGCGTTGGCTTGTTATGACCTATGAATCATTTTTTTCAGAACAAAATGACTTCGGATAATTTATTTCTTGCAATTCAAACATTAATGGATTGTGTTGTACATGGCAGATCTATAAAAGGGTGTTATCTCCTTGTTACATGGAAGCATTACAGTGATTCTCTATCTTTGCCCTATTCATCGGTTGATACAGAGGCACAAGGCTGTGCGAATTTCGCTTCTCTTTTTACCACTTCCTTTGTTTGACATCATGTCACTAGACGTGTATCTGTGCGCTGTGCAGGGAGATTACTAGAATTAGATTTGATGAATGAAGTGTATCAGTCCACTAGAGACGCGCTGTGTATGATATATGGCCCTTTGCTCCAGGTGTCCTTTGCATAAAGGCATGTCCCATTTATGTACCGGTGATCACTTTCCGTCAAGAACAGCAAAGTGAACACTGACGACCCATCTGGCATCAGCCTCAGGGACAGGGCGTTGGATTGCTGTAGTGCTTCCGTGACAACACAAGACTCGCCGGATAGATAGATGAAGATGATGGATATGGATTAAGGAAGCTAGCTAGCGTGGAGACTGACCATTGGCACGACGGTTTCACGTGGCTTGTTAGTTTGGAATTCAGGCGTTGAAACGTATACCTGCTGCATGCGTGTCACGACATCGACGTTCGGTCTCGTTTGGTTTGCCGAAGACGGCGTTTGGTCTTACTCGGTTTGGTGGAGACGGCGTTTGGTGGAGACGAACCTCTCAACTGCTGATTATCCAAGGAGTGCCTTCAACCACTGCTGTTGTATGGATAAGACCAGCTACTGCAGTAGTACGAACTAGCGGTCATAATCTGTTGGAGTTAGAAACAACGTTCAAAGTACATAAATGGATAGAATAATCATTCTCTTAACAGCAAAGTGAGCAACTGAGATGCAACAATACCAACATGTACTAGTAACCAAAGGAAGACTCTTATTACTCTCTTCGCATTCTGCCCCCATGTCCCAGGAGTTACATTTTGGACTAAATCTCTAACCAGTACAAACAACAAAAGCCCTGATCCTGATTTCTCTAATAATTATTATTGCTAACACACCCATAAATCACCATAACTTACAGGATTGAACTACTTGTACACCACTTAAGTACATTTTCGACCAAGCAGCAGCCAAAAGTAATTGTACAACAAAAAACAGGACCATGAATGATCTGTCATGCGTCGCTGCGATCCAGGCATCCAGCGTGCCATAGAATTCCCAACAGCCAGCACAGGGAACTCAAAACAGCGACAATCCTTTGTTATTCGCGCGGCCTAGCAAGCCACAGAGAACTTAAAGCACGCAACCGCGAAAAGTAGTCATGGACGGCAAGAAGAGCACGAGAAGCCTGTCGTATCGTTAGAATGCGTTGCATTTGATGCAATGTCTGCTGTCGCAGGTTGTCGGCCTGCAGAAATAAAACAGAATTAATCTTCAAAACTAATGCATCAAAACCAAATAAACAGTGCACAAGTGACAGCCTAAAACCACATAGATTGTTGAATGACAACATATCGCCCACAAGGATACAAAGAAGATGCTTACTTGGCGAAGAAAATTCTCGAGTGTCCCAAGTTTGCCCATGGCCATGGCCATCTGACCCATGTAGTTTGCCACATTTCCTGAAGAACCTGATGGACCAAGAGATCCAGCTAAAGTCTCTGCCAAAGATTGCTGCAGTGCTTCCATGCCCTGTGACAACGCATCCTCTGCTTGCTGGGAAGATTGCTGGAGGTTGTTCAAACCCAGCATTTGCTGCTCAGTTAGGGGCTCGAGGTGATTCGCTAGGAGCTGAAATTTTCCATTATGCAGAGAAATCAGCAATCTTACATTTCCAATGAGGGCACAGAAAAAAAAAACAAAGCCTGCGAATGAATACTCCACACACCTTTAAAAGCTCAGATGGACGAAAACCCCCAAGCCACAGGAAGCACCTTTCAGCAGGTGTCTTCCACATGCCTGAAAGTATATGAAATACATCAGCCTTTGCAGCAACACCTTTGACCTTGAATATTTCATCATAATGTGCCAGTATGCCATCTACAATAAGTCGTAGATCACTGTCACTTGCATGAGCATTCACTGCAGTCCTCAACTCATTTATCTGCTTATTCTGGTCCTCTAGCCATCTAGCATATTCTATGTCAAAAGTCAATGCTCCTGCAACGAGAAGTTTATAATTTCAGATGCACTTCTAATGATAAAGATAGCACTCAATCAAGATAGATTAATTAAATCCAGAAACACATAGAGCCACACAGATATAACAAACTAAAACATTACCATTTCCACTCATGGCATGGGTTTGGTCTCCAGAGCTGGAAATGAAGATTCCCTGAAAGTAATATTCAAAGAGAGTCAAAATAACAGCACAAAGGTACAATTTTCCAAGCACTCAGTAAACATACATGCAACCAAGAAAGAGTTACCTGCTGGCGAGCTTTCTGGAGTTCCTGCTCCAGTTGTGCAAGTTTCAGCTTACTGCTCTCCAGCTGCTGCACATATGCCTTCACCAAATAAAAAAGAAACACGTTAGGCTTTTACTTTTTAGTGTCCTAATAAGAATTGAAAAGGAATAACTTGTAGAAACTATGTTACTCCTATTTAACACAATCGAATTGCATATGCATGGACAATTAAAAATTTAGTGGAGTCTGTATTACATGAAGAAGCAGTCTTTTGCCTGTTGCATTTGAGTCGAATCTTAAATGCCAATTGCCCATTTATTAAACATCACATAAAAGAAAACAGACTCATAATGACATGAAACTACAGTACATAACATGCAGTTCAGCATATCAGCAAAAATTAACATATAAAATTAGATAGCCAGCTTATTTTGGTTACATTACTACTAGTCATGTGTATTTCCAAATAATACTTTATTGAAGCTAAAAAGAACATCTCAATCTGTTGAAATTTAGTGATACCTTTTTCCTCAGCCGACTTTTTCTTGCTGCCTCACGATTCTGGGCAAGCCGTCGCATTGTCTAAGATATGAAAATTCACAAATGCAATTAATAACAGGCAATACAAGGTTAAATAAGAACTTGAGAAAAAGGAACCACGATATTACCTTTTGGTCCAAAGGTTTGTCAGACCTGTCGGACCTATCTGAAGAATTAGAAGGTACAACCGCACCACTTCCGTTCTCCATCTGTAAAAAAAAATGTTAAGCATAAATATAACATCAGTTAGGCATTCAAAATATCTCAACTTATAGAGATGTGTGTCAGTGATGGATTTTTTATTTTTTGAGAACAGTGATGGATTTTTCAAGGTTTAAAGGGTGCGAATATCTCTATAGAGGGAGATGATATCTTAAGCAGATTATTGGTGAAGCAGAATGCCGCAGCCTCTACTCCAGTAATTGATACTTCAGAATATCAACTCAAATATCCAGCAATGGTATTCAACTTTTTGGTAGGCATAGTGTGATAGACTTAAGGTACTAGCATAGTCGTATATACTGTTTAGTGTGAGAAGAATATATGGAAAATATATAGATGTGATGCTCCAATGGCCGGGGCCAACTTGAAATATCTGCTGAAAAGAATACGATGAACCCTGTGAACATCAAAATCAAGAAAAAAGAATTACCCTCTGATTCTTGTCGTTGTCGTCTAAAACAATTGAGGTGTCAGTCCTTGAACTAGCATCTGCCATCACTAGGCCTCAAGAGCATCGATCACCAGGAGACAGCAAATCACTTTGCTCTCTCCTTTCCAGTTGCAAGGTGACGAGCGGTCTAGTGTTTCACAGGATTGACCGATGCCGGAAACTATTCATTCAGTCGAAAAAGAAGATTACTTTGTTAATAAATCATCAGTAGCTTTGTACTAGCTGGGATCTCACCTCATACAAGTAATGACACACAGTACATACACACTTTGGCAGCTTACTTGTTTCCAAGACGGTAGTACGATCTCAGGATTCAGTGCAATCATATGACCTGCAGGGAGAAAAGGGACCCCTTCTATATTAGGAAACTTAAGTACGATTCCAAAGTTTACACATGGGTACAAAAAGGAAACACGCGTGCAGGTTGGTGTACTCGTGTGGATACGAAGGAAGCCCCAGCAAGCGGAGGGGGGCAATCACCGAGCCGGACCACACAGCAACTAGCGCGATGCTACAGCTACCACCACCAGTGGCAGTCACTGCACGGGGGAGACGTGGGGGCACCGTGCTGGGGCAGGGCATAAGGGGATACGGTTGAATTGAACTTCCCCTCTTTACAAAATTACCGTGTGAGAAATCCCCTGCTGTTTCTGAGCGAGAAGAAATCCACTGCTGTTACTAGGCTACCAACCGCGCAGCAACAGGAATCGCAAATTGAACGGAGGTGAGGGTGGGGGTGGGGGGCTCGCACGGAAGAACGAGCGCAGACCCCACAGAGCAACTCTAACAGTTAGGCTGGCTAGAAGAACAATCCATCCAACTGCAAGGTGGAAGCAAGCTAGGGCGTCCTTACCGAGAAGGAGAAGCGAGGACACCAACTGGAGTCAGTCTAGACGGATCTGCACGAAGGAGAGGGCACGGACGAATTGACTCGAATGGAGCGTGCTTCGTAACGGCGGAAAGAGAATCTGGCATGTGCGCGGCGGCGGGCGCGAGGGCTGGCTGGAGCTGCCGTCCGTTGGGGAGGTCGCAGCCGTGGAAGCTGCGTCGGACGGCCGAATCCGGCGGTCGTACCGAGGGCGGGGCGGGCGGCAGGGCCAGAGACGACACCTGCCTGACTGGCGGCGCTGCGGGCGGAGGAGCCGCGGCGATTTGGAACCGCAACCGGATGAGAGGGAAGCTTCCAGAAGCCGCTGTGCCTCTCCTCTTGGCTTGGCTGTGGTGCTGGTGGAGGCTCTGCGCTGCAGGGGAAGCAAGGCAAGTCGCCGAGAGAGAACAAAAAAGTGGTGGCGGCCGTGGACTCGGCGCACGGGGGTCAGGTGGGCGGGGTGTTCGAGTGGCGTGGCGTGGTGAGATGGGACTCCCTCCACTCGCTGGATTAGGTGGGTCGCCTCTCGCCTCTCGCCGCTCGCTTTCCTCACCAACCAACTCCGCCGCAGGCCCGCAGTGTGGTGCGGTGTTTCGTCTCCCTTCCGATCAGCCGAGGGCCATCGTCAAGTCAAGGGCCTGGGCGGCTGGCCGTTTTCGGCGGCTAATAATAAACGGATATGAATGAAAGCGATTGGCCGTTTGCGCAGCCAAGCCAAGCCAAAGCCCAAAGGTGGAAGGATGACTGCACGCCAACGCCAGCCAGCGCTTGCCGCGAAAGCTGTGAGAGCCTTCCTTACCTGCCGTGGACAAATGCCTCGCCAACGTTAACGTCGTCACGGGTTGAAGCAAGAAGACAATAGGTTTTTTTCCTTGATGAATGAAAAAAATACGGTCACCACAACTAGACAATACAAACTATAGCTATGAATTATTCCAATTAATTACAGAAAAAACATAGATCTAAAGCTACAGCAAAAACTTTATACTAAAACATACTATATTATATATTCACTGTGTAGATCTACTTATGTGGAGTCCAACAAAATTGAATTTTTCATTTTATGATTTTTCTGTGATTTACTATGATTTTTCAAAGATTTAGCTGAAAGAAATAAAAAAAAAGATAAAGATAAAATCGCCTTTAAAACCGTTTATAACCGGGCCAGGGAGGTAAGATGGACGGTTTTAAAAGTTAAGTGAGGTGTTTTGTTTAGTTTTACAGGAGGACAAACGGATTTTTACGAAAGCTGAGGAGGTAATATGGGCTCTTTTCTCTGGGAGATCAATGAAGCAGCATGTTGGGCCGGGCGTCTTAGTAGGCCTGAAGCCTGCACGCACACCAGTCATGGTGATCGATTAGGCGCGTCCAGATAAACAGTAACGACCGGCCGGCCCACCGGGCACCCTAGTGACCGTCCAGCCGACCCAGCCGTACTTGGGCCCGTTCCATTCAATCTGTTCCTGCATGCACCGTGCTTACTCGTTCACTGCTGGATATTAATTGTTAAATAAGCGATATAGTGCAACAGGTCACAACGGGGGTGTAGCTCACGTGGTAGAGCGCATGCGAGCGGCACTCCACCTGTTCCACAGTTTTATTTAAGGGATACAGTGCCCGTGCTAACGCCACGATTTTATTTCAGAGATACACATGAAAGTCCCGCAACTCCACACATGAAAACAACACTATGATATTTTTTTCATAGTTCCATTTCACACAATTGTATAAGACCATATATTTTATCCAGAAAACACTCTCGCCTCAACAATCTAATTTACAATCTGCATAATACAAGCCCTGCTCATGCCAAGTATCTACTCCACGGTGAACATTTTTTTTAGGTTGCAGTTATAGGCTCATGTTAAATTAAAAAAAAACGTTGCTTAACAGATTTTATGTCAAAGCATCAAGGTGAGACTAAACTTGCACATCTTGCTACACTTCTACTACAGAAAGCATGCATCAAATCTTAGCACAAGAAAATGCTAAGGATATACAAGGAAGCTCATCTAAATGCAAGATATTCTTATGATACATGATGCAAATGCAATGCTAGCTAAAATGGACGGGTTTCAGCTCAAGATCAAGAAGCACTTAGAAGGGTTCAAATAAATTCTTGAAAAAAATTCAAAGAACCCTAGGAAATGGGAACATTTGGGGGAAATCCGAAATCAGAGGTGCTCGTGAGGGGATTGGATGAGTTGATGGCCAAGAAGTATTCTTACATGTCTTAGCACCGATTTGCCCCAAGAAATTTGCCCCAAATTGCATCCAAAACGCAAGAACGAAAAATCCCAAAACAGCTCCGAAAAGGACAGAAAAAGATAAAATTCTGATTTGGAGAAAGGAACAAGTGAAGCATGAATTTGATCCTTGGCTCAAGATGTCGGTTTATAAGCCACTCCTAACTAAATCAAATCTAAGATGGCAAAAAGCTCAAGAAAGAGCCACTCCTCTCTCTAACCCTAGCCTCCTCTCAACATCACACAAATGAGAGAGAGAGGATAGCTGTCCAACCAGCCCCTTCACATATATATGCATACCAGATAGTTCCATTAGGAAATTTGAAACCCCTTCACACAGATAGTTCCATTAGGAAATTCGAAATTCATCTTTAGTCAAAATTCAGCATTGTCTTCATTCAAATCCTGCATCATTTTTATTAAAAAAATCAGGAAACCATATTATGAATATAATCACTAAACAGGAGCAAAAAAAACTTTTAGGGAGGCTGAATACTTTAACCATGTGGAGAAATCCAAAAAAACTCAAGCGGAGCACCTAATATTTTTTAGGTAATCTCGTCCAATCAAGCAACACTTGCTTTGTCTCTGAACCAAAATGGTAAAGCAGAGTTACTGGCAGACCATCGGAGGACTTCTACTTCCTTTTTCTTGGATAACATATTGAAAATTAAAGGTGGATCCTTAAACCAGGGTCTATATCTAGAATGTTTTACGGAATTCTTAACTGTATATTGAAGAATGGCATGCAATTTTTATTTAGTACAATCATACAGTTCCCATTCAGGTATCAATGTATCTGATGCAAGCAGATATATTTTTGTAAGAAAAAAACTGCTCTATGTGGAACTTTCTTCCTTTTCTATCTTTTTCTACAAAATAATATTGATAAAGAGACAATATGATCATAGCCTGATCCTTGATAGAACAGAACAACATACTATAAAATGGTAAGCCTTAATCGGAGATAATGGAAATACCTCACCCTCTTTAGCTAGCGCAATTGAATGCCAACCTCCAGCTATCAACCTACAATTATAAGCTGTAGAAGTAGAACAAGTGAGAAATCAGGAAACCATTGTGATGATAAAATAATCAATTTATGAGAGAAGTGGCGCCCTGATGTTAATAGGCTACATCCTAGTCAATCAACCACCAAGTACCTGATGCTCTCTGTTTGCACTATCATACTGAACTTCTATCCCGTTCTGTAACCTCTGTAGGCATTCTTCCTGAAACACGCTAAAGAAAATATGTTAACTATGAATAAAACTTCACTATCCTGCAGTGTATAGTTAAACCCAAATTCATCAAATTAATATATAAATTACTTCAGTTAAAAAGGCACTGAAGTGAATTAACAGAGTCATAGCAATTTTGACGCAGGTGGTGCAGAAGCAATGCGAGATTCAGAGGAGGGTCTGAAGTTCAGGATGAATTCAGCAGGGGGCCTAAACAGTGAGATATTTCAAGTTTCATTGATAGGGTCGAGAATCTGGCACTACTTCAGAACCGCAAGAGCATACTAGGAATCAAATCAAATCGTAAAGAAATAGACGAATCCCACCTCAGGCGTCAAATCGAAGGAGAGGCGCGCATCACTGTCCCTCCTCTACGCGTAGACGCAGGAGAGTCCGACGCCGGATACAGGTATGGAGGTACCCCGTTGACTTGCCCTTCTCCACCTCCATGAGGCCTCCTTGTGCGTGGAGCACGACCTACATTCACGCTCCTCCATATCGATTGCCTTCGCCTAAAGCGTGCTCCACCGCAGCGGCCTAGACGACTCGGGTCCGGGGCTAACCCTACGCTTCTTCTCCGTCGCCGCTACCTCGGTGGGCGTCGCGGGCTCGGTCTCCTCAGCGGCGGCGGCGGCAGCAAGGATGGCCAGCATGACGCCGTCGGGGCTCGAGTTTAGGGATGGATCATTCTCGTCCCCGTTGCCGTCCCCGCGCGTCGCTTCTTGGGGCGCCTCCCCACGGCATCCCGCGGCGAGGTGTGTTGTTGCTGCTGCAGCGCACGCGGCATCGCGGGATACCTAGGGTTTGGGGAGCGGCATCGCAGCGAGGTGTGGTGAGTCACGGACTAGGAGGAGAGGTGAGAGGAGGATGATGTTTCATTTTTTTGAAAATTGGTTCTATAGCACCGAAAGTACTTACGTTCATCACGTAAAATACCACTGAAAGACGTTTGTCACATAAAATACTGCCGAAAGACACACCGTTACCTCTATCTAGCATTCCGTCACGGTGGGATAGCAATGTCGTGAAATCCACCTCCAAACACCTGAAAGATGCTGGGTCCTGGTCCTCCCCTGTTCGATGTGGAGCGCCAGCACCAGCTCATGCTCCTCCTCGCTGCCGATGGCGGATGCTAGGCGGAATTCCAAAGTTATCACCGGGTCGCACGAGGTGGCCGTCGAGGAGTGCGGTAAGCTGGTTACAAGTGAGACACGATGCAATGAGTGCGGAGTGGCAGCGACAGCGATGACCTAGCTTGCCGGCCGACATGGGTAAGGACGGACCACCGGAGGAGGCGACCAAGGCAAAGAATTCAGCGCCGACGCTGCCGTCGTTTGCCGGTGTTCATGCATGCGGACTCGGTGCTCATGGTGCTAGGCCTGGTGGGCGCAATAGGCGACGGCATGTCCATGTCCGTGATGCTCTTTATCACCAGCCGCATCTTCAACTTCCTCTCCTCTCCTACTTCTTGACTACCAGAACACGTGGAATCTCGTCTTCTTGGCGCTCGGCAACTGGGTCATGGCATTCCTAGGTGAGCCGGCCGATGCTACACACGCATGCACCCGTGCCAATGCCGCCGCCGGTGGTTTGCTTGTGCATGCATGTTGGGGGCACGACAGAGCGGCATGCATTGTGCTGATAATTGTGGTCCACAAGTGTGGTCGGCCTCGCGCTCGAGGCGGCCCGTGCGGTGGCGTCGTCCTTGGGCTAGGGGCACATGTAGGGGGTAGCTTCGCTGCCAGCCGTGGCATTGCGGGCCAAGAGGTAGCACAGCGCTTGTTCAGGTGCAGCTGGTGTCCGTTCTCAGCATGCACCACATGCAGAGCTCGCACCCGTGGCGATGAGCCCAGCGCATCATTGCCATGGTCCAGGTCCTGACACTCCACCTCCATGATGTTCTCTTCTGTTCCATGGCCGTTCTCTGCGGTGCGTGAGTCCATCTCGAAGCTCCAGTGTCCTGTAGGATAGCTTCAACTCCCTCGAGAATGCAAGACCTCGCAAGAACCATGAGCACCATGTCCGCGATGTCCGTGAACACCGACGCGAACGACTGCAGCGCCGGTGCCAAATTCTTGGCCTTGGTCGCCTCCTCTGGAGGTTTGTCCTTACCCATGTCGGCCGGTGAGGTTGTCGCTGTCGCTGCCACTCCGCACTCACCGCACCGTGTCTCGCTTGTAACCAGCTTGCCGCGCTCCTCGACGACCACCTCGTGCGACCCTACGACAACTTTGGAATTCTGCCTGAGCATCTGCCGTCGGCAGCGAGGAGGAGCATGAGCTGATGCTCTGGCGCTCCACATCGAACCGAGGAGGACTAGGAGTAGGACCCAGGGTTTGTTTCTATAAGGCGTTTGGAGGTGGATTTCAAGATGTTGCTGTGCCACCATGATAGAATGCTAGATAGAGGTAACAGTGCTGTCTTTCAGTGGTATTTTACTCGACGAATGTCTTTCAATGGTTTTTTACGAAAGTGGAGTTCTTTCGGTGCTATTGAACCAAATTTCTCTTCATTTTTTTGAGAAAATGAAAAGGACAAGCCACGAATCAAACATGGCCGATGGGCTGGGGCGGGGGCGGGGCTGCGTGGGGCATGTTTGAAGCCTCGCGTGATGAGGCAGAGGCGTGTGCGGTGAGGCTATGTGAGAAGCCTGAGGGTGCAGGGTGAGAAGCCACACATCACACATCGAATAGTGGCCATCAGATTTGGTTGAGATGTTTTATAGTCTTTAATTTTAATGGAGATGAATTTCTATGTGTATTTTTCTAAGTGCATAATGGTTATGGACTCTCAGCAGAGGACGTTTTCCTGGGGGACCTAGTATAATTTTGGCCACGTTCGCTTCGCTGAAAAAATAAGCGAAAACACTATTCCGGCTGATTTGTTGTGAGAGAAAACACTGTTGAGTCCAACGAGAGGATAAAGCTTACAATATTCTTAGCCATTTCTTACATCATTTTACAATATTAGAGTACTTAAACAAGTTGAATGCACCAACGGGAATTAAGCATATGATCATAGTTATAGCAGAAACAAAGATTTATCTAATAACATGGTGAAGCATTAACGTAGTGGACATTTCTATACAAGATATGCTAGCATATTTTACATCTTTTCTTATGAAAACCTTTAGTAAGGGTTATAAATAAATACTACGATCGCAGCGTGAAAGGAATCCTCTCTGAGCCCACTAGAAGGTTTTCACACACAATAGTCAGCTCTGGTATCCACCTGTCACCTGCAACAGGAGGAATAAAACACTAAGTACTCGATTGTACTTAGCAATACTTACCCGATAGGAGAAAAATAAAAGACTCTAAGGATATGCAAGGCTTATTTGGCTTGCTGGTTTATTACATTTGCAGGAAGCATTATTAATGGTACATCCTTATATTCAAAGTTTTTAGCAGTTATTTTTAGTTAATTAGCTAATCATTCTAAGTAAGCACATAAGCTACTTTCAAGCACATGGTATGCATTCAGAACCATTTTACCATCTTTCATATTTTAGTTATTACTATGGTGCTAGACCATAGCCAAGTCGGTACCATCTCAAAAGAAACGACGATTCGTGAATCAATGTATTCCAGCTGGGTACCCCGAAGCACATGCTTCGCTTGCGCCCCAGGCATAAACAAGACCAACCCATTCCACTCCTGTCATGGGGTCCAGGTCCCCATCCAAACTTAGACTCCAAGCCCCCAACACCTGAGACCCGTTCTCAATATGGTGTTTAGAACTCCACCTAGTACCCACCCCTAAAACCCGGTCCAGAAAGAGACAGAACCCATGACAAGAGAGTAACAAGTCTTCCCGCTCCCATAAGCAAGTATGTGCTTAGGATAATAAGTCTATGACTGTTTACACCAAAATTTCAAAAGAAGAACGCAGGAACTCGAAGCTTCTAGGATTATGTCATCAAGGAATCGATTAGATGTGAATCGGTATCAGCTGATTTAGATGCGATGTCAGAATCGGCTATTTTATAGATGACGTCAGCAGACGGCGTCAATAGTCTATGCTTGAATGGTGCTAGGAAGATGTGTCAACGCTACAAATAAGGAAAATTAGGGTCCAAGTTATTATTAAGTTAGGAAGTTTTCTTTTATTCCAAGAATTGTAATGAGTCGTATTTGAGTAGGATTCATATTTAGGTTCCGGGTATAAATATTAGACCCTGGTTATTATAAAAAACAACAACACTCAATCAATATAATTTTTCCGGCTTTCACCATCGCATTAGGAGTAGGAGTACTGTAGATCTCGGCGAGTTCTTCAGCAAACAGGGCTGCATCGACTGATTGACCTCTAGCTTGCTTGTGAGTACTGTCACGACTTGTATTATGCTTGTAAAGCTACATCAGCTGATTGATCTTTTATGAGCCATAATATAAGTTAGTTATCGATCTGTATCATAGTTTGTAAGGCTGCATCAGCTGATTTATCTCTTACGAATCATAATATAGATCAAAGTTATCGATCTTGTGTTAAATAACTCATTGTTTAATACAATATCACCAGCTATCGAATTTGCCAAGATTAGTAAAAATTTTCTTGCTGGTTTTAGTTGATTCATCAGTTATCGATCTTGTTATAATTAATGTTTTATTAATTATAACAAATCATCTGATTGGGATAGAGATAGATTGGCATCATATTATCTTAATTGGTCATCCTTTGATCTATCACGCTTTAAATCTGATAATTGATGGCTTAATTCCGCTAGATCGGCTGTTTTATGTCTATTCCAATCAAACATAGTATGCATCCAAAGACATGTTTTAATCTTGAATAAACTCACTAGTTAATGAGATCTAATCTAATGACACTACTATAGCTACATTGATCCAGTCGAACCTCACTGTAAGACTTTAGATTAGAAATTATCAATTAGTGGTCTTGTCCATGATCAAGATATGCACTATGTTTGTTTTCCATGACTTCATCGCCTATTTTAGCCGATTTCCCTATACTCTCACGTATATAGCATGTTTTCATGAATCTGTCAACATATAGATGGTTTTATAGATTCTTTGGCTTTAGTTTATTATCATTATCACAGCTGTATCGATCTGATCGAACCTCACTGTTGATGATAATAGATTAGATTCAAACTGTTTATAGATTCATTTATATTAGAAAGTCGATTTGTTCGCATGTTATACTCTTTTCATCAAATTTACCATCTCGACGCTTTATATCGATCATGTTCCATTTAAGTCGATGATGCTTTCTTATATCGCTTCTTTGTTGATTATCAATTCTCTAATCGATCGATGACATCAATCGACTATTTGGTCATATATATTGGAATTTTAAGGAAAGATCTTCTAATTTTGTATTTGGGTGTATTGTACTTGTTTTTGTCTAGATTAATCAGTGATCATAAATCTGCTATGATCCATGAGCATCGGTTATTTTGATTCATATCATTATCATTTAATATTAGCTGATAATCCTTGATTTAAAGATCTTTATTTCATAGATACGTCGGATATCCACTATTTAGTCTATAGCCTTATTGAATCGGCTATCTAGCCGTACATTTGGAACTATATGGTCCAACCCCGATATGTTCCATCTTAAATTACTGATAAGATTTTCTCTCTTGTCAATTGCAGGTCAAATTGACTAGCACGTTGTTGAGTTTTCAGAATCGGCAGGTTCTGTGTTGAAGCCAACCAGATCTCTGGTCTCGTTCCACTTAGATCCTCCGGCTTGCTCTATGTTGATCACATCGCCATATTTTTGTGTCAATAGTGATCTGACTATCATCCACAGCAATGGATGTGCCGATGTTTTAGACCGGCGGATCCTCAACCAACTAGTGAAAGTGTACTGCATGCCCCTAATCCGGGATGATGATGCAAAGAGACACAAGGTTTATACTGGTTCAGGCAATAGGTGCCCTACGTCCAGTCTGAGAGAGTGATCTTGTATTCCTTGCACCGAGGTGCTTGTAGTAGGGGTTTACAAGCAGGGCGAGAGAGGGAGTTAGTCCCAGGTCTCTGCGTGGAGCGGCGTGGGTTGCTTGAGATGTTGATCTCTTGCAGTGAAGGAGCGTGCGTATCACAGAGTGTTGCTCGTTGCTTGCGTGTGTGTGTCTATCTGAGCGATGTCTCTGTGAGTGCGTGTCTAGAAACGGCCCCGGTCACTCCCTTTTATAGTTGAACGGGAGGACAGGGGTGATACATGCGTTCACTACGTGGTGTTTTGTGGGTGGAGGCGGTATGTCCGAGCCCTGTGCTTATCACTATGGCAGCATGGTCGACGAAGCGGTCTTGTCCTCGGTGCACTGGAGCGACGCGCTGATCACCCCGATCCCGTGCGACGTGGGGGCTCCTGTAATGGCTTGACGCAGGGCATGACGCAGACTATGGACGACATGCCGGTCGTTGTATGTCGACAGCGTAGAGAGCCGAGGCCCCATCAGTGCAGAAGCTGAACCATTGTGGGGGGGCTCGGCGGGCGCGAGTCTCGAGGCTATAGGGGTGCGGAGGCAGGGAGTCGAGGCTCGGATGGAGCAATTGGTCTTTTATGCTGATTCCGAGGCTACAGTGACCCGGACATGACTCTCCACGCCGCACTGTCCTCAGAGCAGGTGGGGTTAGGTAGCACAGTGTCGCATGGGTGTCAGTCATGGGCACAGTGCCAAGCGCAGCGGCCGGTAACCCCTGCCCCTTCCCGTCATGGACGTCATGGCGTTGATGCGACTCTCATCTCGTCGGTCACTCCGCTGTGTCGAGTCATTGTTCAGCTGACATTGCGAGAGTGGTTGGTTGCGTTAGTTGGACGTGACGTCCCGGTCAAGGCGGCGGTGACGGGGTAGCTGCCGAGCCAGCCTCGAGCGAGGCGGAGAATCGGTACCTCGTCCGAGGCCTTTCGGGCGGGGCCTCGGGCGAGGCAGAGAATCGGTACCTCGTCCGAGGCCTTGCGGGGTGGGGCCTCGGGCGAGGCGGAGAGTTGGTACCTCATCTGAGGCCTTGCGGCGTGGGCCTCGGGCGAATCAGAGAATCGGCCGAGGCCTCGTGGTTGTCTCTTGGCTTCGATATTTACAAGGTCTAAGCAATTTTTTCGGTTCTTGCTTAGGGTTCCCCTTTTTATGGTATCCGACAGTAGCCCCTGAGCCTCGGGGGCAGTGCGAGCACTCTCCCTAAGGTTTTGATGAGACTTGGCTCGAAGCAGCTCTCGTCGGAATTATGTTTTGTGCTCGAGGCCTCGGTGGGTGCGCGCGAGCGCACCCACCGGGTGTAGCCCCCGAGGCCCTGGAGGAGTGGATTTACTCCTCCAGGGTCTTTTTCC